GTTGGTCCATGAAACTAATGAAACTAATACTAGGATAGGATCTTGGAATATAGGTACTCTCAATGGTAAATTAATGGAATTAGTTGATATTATGATTCATAGAAAAATTAATATCTTATATGTTCAAGAAATTAAGTGGGTTGGAGAAAGGACCAAGGAGATTAATAATTTAGGTTTTAAACTTTGGTATTCTGGTAAGAGTCACACTAGAAATGGTGTATGTGTAATTATAGATAAGAGTTTGAAAGATAATGTTGTAAAAATTAATAGAGTTAGAGATAGAATTATAACCCTTAAGATTATCATTGATTCTAAGATTTTTAATATTATAAGTGTTTATGCTCCCAAGTAGGTTTAGATACAGGGGTCTAAAGATAAATTTTAGAATAACTTAGAAAACTTAATACAGATGTTACCTCTTGAAAAAAGAGTTTTTATTAGAGGATATTTAAATGGGCATGTTGGTAGAGTGGTAGATGACTTCAGAAATACTCATAGTGGCTACGATTTTGGAGTAACTAATGAAAAAGGTAGAACTAGTTTAGATTTTGCTTTAGCTTATGATTTTGTTATTACTAATACTTTATTCAAGAAGAGAGATGAGCATCTTATTACTTATAAAAGTGGATCTAATAAAACATAAATTGATTATTTTCTTATGAGAAGAAGAGATCGTCGCGATTGTAAAGATTGTAATGTCATTCCAAGTGAGAATTTAAGTACCCAATATCGTTTATTAGTTCTAGATTTTAAGATTAAGACTTGCAAAATAAAGAATACTAGGACTCATTATCGTAGAATTAAATGGAGAAACTTAAAAGACACAAATAAAATTATTTTTATGAGTAAAATTCAAGATTTCAAAATTTAGGATATTCATGAAGAAGCAAATGTTATGTGGGATAAAGTAACAAACACTATTAAACAAGTAGCAAAAGATGTGCTTGGAGAATCAAAAGAAAAAGTTTTTATAAATAATAATAATTGGTGGTGGAATAATAATGTGCAAAAAAGGATAAAATATAAGAAGTTATGTTATAAAATTTTGTTTAAATGTAAAAGCTTAAAGAACTTGGATAAATATCAAACGACCCGCAGGGAGTCTAAAAGAACAATCTGTGACACTAAAAATTCTGTTTTTAATGATCCTTATAATAAATTACATACTAAGGAGGGTGAAAAATATATGTATCAACTAGCCAAACAAAGAGAAAAGAAAAGTAAAGACTTAACTCAAGTAAAGTGTATTAAAGATAAAAATCAAAAAGTACTTTTCTTAGAAAAAGATATTCAACATAGGTGGGTGAGTTACTTTGATAAACTTTTTGATGAAGTTTCTGAAAACACGATCGATTTTAGTGATCTTAATATCATGAATAATAATAAAACATTTCATTTTTATCGTCGCATTAGTTAAAAAGATGTTGAGGAGGCTTTAAAGAAAACTAAGGGTGGAAAGTCTGTAGGACTTGATGATATCCCAATTGAAGTGTGGAAATATTTGGGAGATTTAGGAGTTTCTTGGCTTACTAAACTCTTTAATATTATTTTAAAAACTAAAAAGATGCCTGAGGAGTGGAGGAAGAGTATTTTGATCCCCATTTTTAAGAATAAAGAGGATGCACGAGAGTGTGCAAATTATAGTGAAATTAAGTTGATGTGTAATACTTTAAAATTATGTGAGAGGGTAATTGAACATAGGTTAAGATGCATCACGAAAATTTCTCATAATCAATTTGGATTTATGCCTGACAGGTCTACTATGGAAGCTATACATTTATTGAGAGGTTTGATGGAGAAGTTCAGAGATAATAAGGAGAATCTACATTTGATTTTTATTGATTTAGAAAAAGCTTAC